TTGCAAAGGCAAAAACCCCGAGGAATGCTTGAAGTCCAATAAGGAAGCTGCTGTGGCTAGAATTTGATGAGTAAAAGGGAGGAGAGTAGTGTTTGCTGGGTGCTGTAGAGTAGATCCCAAGTCACAGTGAACTTCCACGCCTGAATAGAACCAGACTTTAATTTCTACAGGTGCAGATCACCTGTTCTCTTCTCCCACAAAACTTGTTCAGTTAGAACTCTCAAATCTTGGTTAGCTGCCAAGCACTTGCCACTGGATATCCAACCTTCCTTTCCCCTCCATCCTCATTGTCTCTGTCCTCCTTTCTCCATCTAGACTGCATCTGGAGCTGGCCCAGCTTCTCTATTCAGTCCTCCCCGCATACTGTGTCTGTACTAATTTTCCTAAAATAGGTGTCTGCCAAAGTTGTTCAGAGTGAATACAAGGTTTGTCAGCAGAATGTGTTCAGAACTACATTTAATATAAGTAGATATGACAGCTATGTATTACCTATACTGGAAGCATGAGAAGACCTGACAAGAAGATCTCTTAGGAAGTTAATGCTGTGGTCAAGGTGAAGGATCACAAGGAAATAATGGAGAAAAGTACAAGGATATGAAAGACACTGAAAATGGAAAATGCCAGGGTTTGGCAAGTGATTTTTAGTGATCAATTTCTGGAGCAAAGAAACTGAGATAAGAAATTCTGATTTGTTTCATGGTCTCTCAGTTTTAAGATAGTGATAGTTTGTTATACAGTTTATTTCCTCTAGATTTCTTTAGAACACATGTCAAAAAACATTTGCCGTAATTTTGCAGTTTTTTCTTTTATTTTAATAACACTCTCATTTTTAGGAGGTCTCTAGGAAAATGGAAAGAATGTGTACCTGACAGACAGCCTTTGGCCTGCTGCTCTGCCACTCATAGTCTGTATGCACTTTGACAAAGGATTCAATGTGAACCTCATAGTCATTATTCAAAAACAAGGGTAATAATATTAATCTTCTAACGTCACCATTCCCATTCTTCTCAATTTCATTGCAAAGGCATTTGACTGTGTAGATCATAACAAACTGTGGCTGACTCTGAGAAGAATGGGAATCCCAGAACACTTGATCGTTCTAATGCGAAACTTATACTTGGACCAGGAGGTAGTCGTCAGAACAGAGCAAGGGAACACTGCATGGTTCAAAATTGGGAAGGGCGTATGCCAGGGATGCATCCTATCTCCATACCTTTTCAACCTATATGCAGAACAGATTATCCGGGAGCTGGGCTCTATGAGGAGAAATGTGGGGTCAAGATTGGTGGACGATTTATCAATAATCTGCATTATGTGGATGACACAACCCTGCTTGCTGAAACTGAGGAGGACCTGAAGCACCTGCTGCAGAGGGTCAAGGAATGCAGCCTACAATATGAATTGAGGCTCAATGTCAAGAAGACAAAGATTCTCACCACTGGACCAATTGGCAGCATCAGGATGGATGGTGAAGAGATTGAGATTGTACACAGCTTTAGTTTGCTTGGCTCCATAGTCAACAGTCTTGGCACCAGCAGCCAGGAAATTAAAAGGCGCATTGCCATGGGAAAGTTTTCTGTTAGGGACCTCTCCAAAGTGCTGAAGAGCAATGGTATCTCTTTGGAGACTAAGGTGCGTCTGATACAGGCCATGGTCTTCGCAATCACCTGTTATGCATCAGAGAGTTGGACAATGACCAAGGAGGATCGAAGGAGAATTGATGCCTTTGAGCTGTGGTGCTGGAGAAGAGTATTGAGAATACCATGGACTGCTAGGAAAACAAACAGATTTGTCCTGGAAAGGGTTAAACCGGGTGGCTCCTTGGAGGCAAGGATTCTGAGGCTCCATCTAACATACTTTGGACATGTTGTGAGGAGAGACCGGTCCTTAGAGAGGGACATCATGCTTGGGAGGGTGGAAGGACAGCTCAGGAGAGGAAGGCCCTCTATGAGGTGGATTGATTCAGTGACTGGGATAATTGGGATGGGTGTGTCAGAGACAGTGCGATTGGCACAGGACAGAGCAGAGTTTAGGGCTGTGTACATAGGGTCGCTATGAGTCGCAGGCGACTCGACGGCACATAACAACAACAACAATGTCACCATGAGGACTAAATATGCTAGTTAGTTGTTTGGTATGACACTAGAATATACCGTCTTTGTTGTCATTGTTATGCCCTGTAAATGGAACTGACTCATAGCTTCAAAAAATGTTACAGCGAAACTGACTCATAACTGTAACAAAACTGACTCATAGCAGACCTCCAGTGTGTTTTTCAGAGGCAGTAAATCGCACAGGAGGAGAATGACCATCTTTCTCCCGCAAAGCAGCTTGTGGATTCAAACCACGCACATGTGCCTTTGAGTTGGCGTGTACAACTCCTTAATACCAGGTCACTAGAGTTCCCCAAACATACAAAGTATGCAATAAATGAAAGTCTTCTCCTACTCAATGGCCCCTATCTTGTTTTGTTGTTAGGTGAGTTTGAGCACATGATCCGGGTTTGAGATATTTTTCACACCCAGATATTGTTTTCTGATCTTAAATAGGTTCATTATCAGAAACACACTATTGTTGTTGTAGTTATGTGCTATCAAGTTGTGACTATAGTGATCCTATGCTCTGAAGCCTGCCCTATCCTGAGCCAGTCTTACTGACTTAGACACACTTGTCCCCATTAGCCCAGTTACTGTGTCAATCCACCCCATCCAGGGTCTTCCTCTCCTGTACTGTCTTACCACTATGCCAACAGAAAGCATCATAATGGATGAAGAAAGGATTTAAACTGTCAATAAGTTCCTCGTGCTTGGATCTAAAATCAACACACTTGGTATGAGCAGTCAGGAGATCAGGAGACATATTGCTTTGAGCAAGTACATTGTCAGAGACCTCTCCAATATACTGAAAAGCAGTGATGTCTGTTTGAAGACTCGAGTGTACCTGATTCAGGCCATAATCTTTTCAATTACTTGCTATGCTTCTGAGAACTGGAAAATGAATACGGATGACAGAAGAATAGATGCCTTTGAGTTGTGGTGTTGGAGAAGAGTACTGAATATCCCATGGACAGCCAAAAGAACAAACAGATATATCTTTTAGAAAGTGGGGAGCTCTGGTGGCCTAGTGGTAAGGAGCTGCAACTACAATCCCAGAGGTGCACGGTTCAAATCCACCAGATGCTCTGCCGGGGAAGGAGGGACAATCTCCTCCTGTACCAGTCAGATCTGATTTGACGGTACACTCACACAAAAATAATAATAATAATAAAAAAAGAAGATTTTAAAACAAATTAAACAAATTAAAAAAAAAAAGAAAATGCAGCCAGAATGCTCCTTAGAGGGGAAAATGGTGAAGCTTTGTCGCACATATATTGGGCATGTTGCTAGGAGAGACTATTCCTTGGAAAGGGAAAAATGCTTAGAAAAGTAGAAAGTAAGGGAGTTCTGGTGGCCTAATGGCAAGAAGCTGCATTGCAATCTCCAACATGTGCGGTTCACATCCATCAGGTGCTCCAATGGAGAAGAAAGGGCAATCTCCTCCTATGCCAGTCAGATCTGATTTGATGGTACACAACAAGGGGAGAAAAGAGGGGGAGGATGTGAGGAAAGGTGGGGGAAGAAGAAAAGGGAAAAAAAGACAGGTTAGAAAGTTAGCAAAAGAGAGGAAGACCCTCAACCAGGTGAATTGACACAATAACTGAAGTAATGGGCTCAAGTGTGTCAGAGATGATAAGGAAGGCACAGGATAGGGCAGATTCAGGTATATTGTTCATAGGGTCACTCTGAGTCCTACTTAACTCAACAGCATTTATGAGCCCTGGTGGCACGTTAGAATCTATCAGCTACTCCACAGAAGATGGACAGTATCTTCCTGCAACAATTCACAGTCTTAGAAACTGTAAAGTCACTATGCGTTGGAACCCATTTTAATAAAGTGAAGGTTTTATCCTGATTAAAGAACCCGGGTAACACAGTGGTTAAAGTGCTTGCTGCTGCCAAAAGTTCTGCCAGATACCCAAAAGGTTTGCAGTTTGAATTCACAAGCCACTCCCAGGGAAAAAGATGTGGCTATCTTTTTTTTCCATAAAGGCTGGAAGCACCATGGGGCTACAGAGTTGAAACCAACTCAACAGCAAGCATTTGATTTGGTTTTTCAGTGAGTTATACTCATTACTGGCAGATTACTCATTATTTATAAGATTTTATTTATTTGCTCATTGTCTTTCCTTCACTGGACGATAACCTTGAGGGTTTCATTCTCTGTTGTACCAGCCTATTAATAGTTTTTGGGCACGTAAAACAACTCCAGTGAATGAAATACGGTAAAATGGAGTATTAGCTATAAGAAAATGAGTTCTGTGTTTAATCCACAGTGTGTTGCGTTGTGCTAAAAGGCCACGCATCTCTCATGGTTCAAATCCACCAGATAACACAGAGGAAAAAGATGTGCATCGTCCTCCCTTTATAATTTACAGCTTTGGAAACTGATGAAAGGTTGGAATGGACTGGATATAGCAGGGAACTGGAAAAACTGGCAGCACCAGAACTCTAAACAGAAAATTTTAAGAAGTGAAAATAATATTCAATATTTAGTAACCCCCTTATTTTTTTCCAAGCACACCTTTAATAGTACTGTGAGCTAGTTTTGCTTTTACAGAATGTGACTTGGAAAGAAACTTAGTTCTCAGAAAATTGCTGAATGAGTAAGCCAAGCACTGAAAGTGGCAGAACCAGAAAACTGGCCCAAGACTCACTCAGCTACGCTCGTAACCCCACGTAAAGCGTAAGGAGTTTCACGACAACTCAGGCCCACCCTTTTGGCCACATGTCGCGCGTATCTTCCCGTCAAATGCGGGGCCACCTCCTCGCGCTGCTCTACGAACCTAGAACAGCGTCGCCCCGCCTCCGGTCCCCTCTCCTCCCCGCCCCCTCTCAGTTTCGCGTCTCCCAGCCCGACGCGCCCGCTATAATCACGTGATTGCCTCATCCGGGTCCTTTGCGTTCTCTCTCCCTCTCCCAACATGGCGGCCTCAGGTGAGTGAGCGGCCGAGGGCGGCTAAGGACTGAGCTTCTAAACCACCCTACCAATCTGACCCACTGATTACCTGGCGTCGGGAAGAGGGCGACATGGCTTCCCTTAGGATTTTGGGGCTGCGACAGGCTGACTATTTGGGCGATTTATATTGTTGCCTTGGGATGTTTAGGGGGGAGGGGAAGGTGTCCTTCCCCTCCCCCTCGCCGCTTTTCACCCCAGCTGCGTGAGTCTGGAGTGGGGATAAGGGCGGACTCGGGCTTGAGTTGGAGTGAAGAGGAGGCGCATAAAGATCTGCGAGAGGCGGGAGACCTCATAGACGTGATACTCTTTGCTCGCGTGAAGCCGTAGAGGAAGGAAGGAGGCGGTTGGCGCGCGGACAGGCGCACGCTAAACCAGGTCTTCGAGGCGCGAGGCCGTTGCGGACTGTAGTGGGGGCAGGGGAATAAAGGGGGGGGGCAGTTAGAACGCGAGCGCGTGTCAGTGGTGGGGCGGGGGTAAGGCAATGTTGCGCTTGCGCGTTTGGAGAGAAGAAGGTGGTGGAGACGGGCGCGCCTCAAAAGCACATGCGAGTGCTCCAGTGGAAAGGCTTTATCCTGCTCTGTTACCACTTTTTATACGCTTTCATTTCTGGTTTTGGGGGGGTTGTGTTGCTAAGGTCTTTGTATTCTGAAAGGTACATATGTTAGCATAGAGGTTGAATTTACTAAAGTGGGGGTGGGGAATCCAACGTCGTGCACCCACGTGTTGCAGAGGATGCAAAGCTGAGGACCTGGATTCTCCTCCAGGCTTTTCCCGCCCCCCCCCCGTCTCCCCCCATCACTCAAATGTTTACTGGTTGAAAACAGTTGTACCACGCACCGTTGTAGGCTTCGGAGCTAGTGGTAAACAAGAACAGCTTGTTCTTTAATGGGCCTTTCATTACCGTTGAGGTTTGATAAATTCAGTGGTAGATTTCGGAGTGGGGGAGTTTTGTGGACGTTTGTTTTGTTGGCTTTTTAAAAAACTATACATTTATTAGGGATGTAATTATTAAGGGTATTAAAATTAGTAGATTACTAATTAGTACTCGAGTTGGTTGTTTTGTTTTGGAAGGAATTCTCTCTACTTGGAAAATCTTTAATTTCTAGTGGATTTAGTTCACCTTGGCATCACCCTGTATCCTAAACATTCATTGAACTATCTCTGGGCACTTATCACCGGAGATTGACCTTTTACTGATAAGGGTGACAGAAAAAGAATTGATGCCTTTGAGGTGTATTGAAAAAGAGCACTGAACATCCCATGGACGGCCAAGAAAATGAATAAATATATCTTGGATAGGGTGCAACTGGAGTGCTCTTTGGAGGCATACTTTGGACATATTGCTAGGAGGTGCTATTCCTTGGAGAGGGACATGATGTTGGGAAGGGTGGAGGGTCGGCGAAGGAAAGACCCTCAACCAGGTGAATTCACAAGGTGACTGCTGCAGTGGGCTCTTGTGTGTCAGGAAGTTTGAGGGTGGCGCAGGACAGGACTGAGTTCAGCTCTTTTGTTCATAGGGTATGAAATGTGCTCGACTCGATGGCACCTAACAACATTAGCCTACAAGAGGTGGCTAAGGGTTACGTTTATACTTAGAATATATTGAAGTGTTCTTGAACATACTACCTTTTGTGTGTGGTTTGCACAGTAGTGTAGACAACTGAAACGACACTTAAGTGTATGATGTCTTCAGTGGATCATCATCGATATACATAGATGTTAGTATCTGTCAGCAGAGGAGAATGATTTATTCAAGGTCATACTGCTTGCAGGTGATGAGAAAGGCAGAAATCTGTGAGATTCCGAACTCATTTCCATTATTTACTTGGAATACTAGAGTTGATTTCCTTGTTTGCTGTGCTGCCCTAAGACGTCATCTGAATTTTACAACACTGTACTAAATTTCTAAGTTTATTATGAATTTCTCATTGAGTCAAGTCAATGGGTTGACTTGGATTTGTCATCATAACAGTTTTAGGCCTAATTCTCACTTTTCCCACAACTTTTGTGGAAATTACTTAATCTGTGTCTTTCATTTTACACATAAAGTTAAATGAAAACCCTTTTTCTTACTGATGTCCCTTCCTTTTGCTTATATACTCTACCCCCTTGCCAACTCTCACCTCTTTAACTCAAATTTCTCTCCTCCTCTTAATCTTTGTACATTCATTGACTATTGGATGACCAACATTCCCACAATCTGTTTCCTGTGCCCAATGTTTTGATGCAAATAGATCTTCTGTTTTTTCAGTAATGTGTGATACAACTTTATGGGGTCTTTTGAGAAAGAAAAGTCTTTGCAGCAATACCACTTTCCAGTGTGACCCGTTGGTGACCTTCAAGAACTAAAAATATCTCAGTCCTTACTGTTGAATGTCATCTCTTGAATTTCTAGGAAACCTGATAACATTGAACCAGGAAATTTTAATTCCTTGGTTGACTTCCTAAGAATATACCTGAAATGGAAGTTTAGAGGTTTTTTATTATTACTATGACTATTTTAATACATTTGATATGGGCACATTTCTTTTGTTTCCCTTTCATTGTTAAAGGAAAATGAATGTAATTTGTATGCTCTTACCTTTAGAGAATCAAATATATTTGATAATAGGTTAACACTTTAAAATGCTTTCAATATTGGGAGGGTATATTCACATATAAACCTTCATTTGCATGACACTTCAAACTTTAATAGTTCTTTTCTGGCTAAACAGAAGTTCTTTATATATGCATCATCAGTTATTCAAGCAGATAGTTTCTTAGATTGCCTTTGTGTGCTGTTTATGTATTATTTTCAAATCCCATTCCCTGCCACATACTCTGAAACTATCCAAACTCAGGTCAAGCCTAAAACTTCTTAAGAAAACTAAAAAGTGAATGCAGGTTAAAGAAAAAAATTTTTGTGCCTGAGTTATACCACTGAAAATTAAGAATACCCTACTAATCATTAGTTTCCATTTAATGTTCATATTGCTGTGTAGTGGGTTGTCCCATTGCAGTTCAAATCCACCAGCTGCTACTCTAGGTGGGTTGTCCCATTGCAGTTCAAATCCACCAGCTGCTACTCTGGGAAAAGATGTGCCTATTCCCAGACTCAGTGGAGGGGCGCCATGAGCCAGCATTTACTCCATGACAGTGGTTTGGGGTGTTTTTTGTGGTTTTTGGTTGGTGGTTTGTTGTGTTTTTTTTTTTTGTTTTTTGTTTAGGTTTTACGCTTTTATGAACAGACCCCATTAATTCAGTTTCTTGGGCTTGTCATAGATTTTGCTATTGTGCAGTAAGTAGCAGGATAGACTTAAGGTGTTCATTTTGTTTTATTAGATAAACAGTCACTTGAAGTCTCTGGAGGGGTAAATAAAGAAAAGCAGTGTGGCATTTTCTTCACATTGTCAGACTGAAACCTTCATGGTTGAATTCTAAACAATACTATAACTGTAGATACAAGTGCGTAGACAGCATTTATACAAAAGTTAAATCATTGGCTAGTTTTTAAATTCTAGAGAATTTGTTAAGGTTTCGGGGGGAGGAGTGTTTGCTTTTAAATTGCAATAATTCACAGTTCTATAAATCGTGCTGTTTAGTGTGTGTTCTTATTCAAGAAGATTTGTTACCATCGTCCCAATATCCATAATGTTTTCATCACACTAAATAGATGTGTCATTCCTGGAAGCAGTCACTTCTTATTTCCCCCTACCTGTGCAGCAACTAATGTTCTGTCTGGACATTTGTGACTGGCTACTCATTAGTATACTATCTCAAGGACCATTTTCTTGTAAAATATGTCAGTACTTTTTATTGCAAAATAATATTCCATTGCATGGGTATACAATAGTGTTTTTATATGTTTATCATTTGATACTTGGATTATTCTCCTTACCCTTTGTGTCTTCCATGAGTAACACTGCTATAAACATTATCTTGGGGAGCTCTGGTGGCCTAGTTCAAAGTCATGCATTTTGGGATTGCAGCGCAGCTCCTTGCCACTAGGCCACCAGAGCAGGAGTGGCAGAGTCATGCATTTTGAACCCAACAGCTGCTCCACAGGAAAAAGTGAGTAAGTAGTTTCTTCTAGTGCAATTTTTTGCTTCTGAAAACCCACTAGAGGGTCAGCTATGAGTTGGTTCCAACTAGATTACATATAACAATCATTTCTTTACTAGTTTTTGTGGTTTTTTTTTTACTTAGCTTATGATTAGTGAAACACTCAAAAAGATTGATAACCTCATAAAATAAGTAGAACTTAATTTGAGGAGTCTAAAATTAAGAAACCTCATCAAATTGTTAAGTGCCAGGTGAATTTCCCTTCCCAAACAAGGGATATTGGTTTAAGAAAAATACAAATAAGGCTGCATTTTCTAACAAATAACACTTTATTTTTTTTTTTTCTAGTACTTTATGATGTCCTGTTTAGTGAAAATGGACTAGCGGCCAGTTATAGATTGACAACCCCCAAGAGTTTTCGGTTAGTGCTTTTATTATTAATATAATAGTAAGTACCTCACTCATTGCCATCAACTTGGAACTGACTCAGAGCAGACTGTCCAGTGGGTTTTCAGAGTCTGTAAATTGCCCAGGAGGAAATTGTCCATCTTTTTCCAGTGCTGGTGAATTCAAACCACCAGAGATGCCACCTTTAGGTTAGTTGTACAACTCCCTATGGACTATTCCACTAGAGGGCTCCTGTTACATACAGAGAGTAATAACAGGATATCATCCCAAGGAGAAAAATTAAGGAAGCATATTTTATATATGCTGTATGGATTACATTTTAACATCAAGAAAACAGTTCTTACTACAGAACCGATAGGCAACATCATGATAGATGGAGAAAAAAAAAATAGAAATTGATGATGATTTTTCTCTTAGATCCACAGCCAACAGTCTTGGTACCATCAATCAGAAAATCAAAAGCCATTGGGTTGGGAAAGTCTGCCATCCTAGAACTTCTCCAGAGTACTGGAGAGCATGGACGTCACTTTAAAGACTAAGGTGAACCTGATCCAAGCCATGGTCTTTTCACTTACTTGCTATGAATCTGGTAGTTGGACAGTGAATGAAGAGAACAGAATTTATGCCTTTGAGTTGTGATGAAGAGGGGCACTAAATACCACATGTACTGCCAAGAGAAAGAACAACTAGGTCTTTTTTTTTTTCTTCTATATTTTATTAATTTTCATAAACATTTACAGAGATTTTGGGTTTCCATTCATTCATTGTTGCACTATTCTCTCTACCCTCCTCCCAGTTTGTTCTTGTCCAAATGCCACAGTGCTTGTCAAAGCCAGTTCTGATTAAGCTTCTTTGTCAGTGTATCCTTTGCCATTCCCTATCACTCCTCCCTGAGAGAGACTTCACCCTGAGTCATAAGGAAAAGGGGATGGCGTATTCTCTTAGCTACTTCCTGCTGAAAAGGGACACTGTGGGTTTCAGGCTGAAGATCTTCTCTCACTACTCTAAAGGGCCCCTTTGGCAGTAGGAAACACATAGACTATTATGGAGATTGATTTTGGAATTTAGATGCACTCTTATTGATTGGGCTTGGCCGTACATGTTCATATCCTTGAAGATGTATCATGGGGGTGTTGCAACCTAGAAGACACAAATTTGACTAACAAACAACTAGGTCTTTAGAGATAGTGCATCCAGGATGTTCTTAGAGGGAAGGATGGTTAAAACTTCATCTCACATATTTTGGGCATGTTATTAGGACGGGCCAGTCCTTAGAGAAGGACATCAGACTCAAAATACGAGGGGAAGATTCAACGAGATGGATTCACTGACTTGTAACAGTGGTCTTCTGGTAGGGCAGAGACGATGAACGTAGCACAGGAAGGGGCAGAGGCAGTGATATTCATAGGGTCACTATGAGTTGATACTTAAGGCACATACAGCCTTACAATGGGGGGGGGGAGATCAAGTTTTTACTGTTTGTTACCATCACTTTTCTGCTAGTGCACTTTATGTATGTATTTCTGTTTTGTTACTTATTGAAGTCAGAAACAACATTTAGAACAGTGGTTCTCACCTAGAGGCAACTTTGCCCACTCACCTCCACTGAGCATGGTGCAGTTGGGTTGCTAACTGAAAGGTCCGCAGTTGGAATCTACCAGCCCCTCCTCAGGATAAGGATTGGCTGATTCCTCCTTCAGAAGCTTATAAGTGTGGATGAAGTCCATGTCCGTGAGCGTTGTTTAAAACCATTCTTATTATCAAAAAGAGAGGCATGGTAAGCAGCTAGAGATGCTGCTGTTAGATGCCATCCTGTCACCTACGACCTTAGGAAAAACAGATCTGAACCCTGTCCTACTCTGCACCAGCACATTGTTAATAGTCACTGAGTTAGGCCATCTTGATGAGGGTCTTTCTCTTTCTCGACCCTTTACACCAGAATGGTATCTCTCCAAGGACTGATTCCTCCTGAAAATAAACCCAAAATGGAAGTATCCCGACGTTTCACCATCTTTGGCTCTAAGGAGCACCCGGGTTTCCTTCAAAGCATACTTGCTTACTCTTTTGGCAGTCTATCGATGTTAGCTACTCTTTTCTAGCACTAAAATTCAAAGGCATCGATACTTCTGTCCTTATTTCATTGTCCTGACTTTCAGATGCTTAGGAAGCAATTGAAAAGACTGGTTTGAGTCAGGTGCTCCTTGGTCTTTAAATTAATATCCTTGCTATTTAGCATTTTGGAGAGGTCCTTGGGAGCAGATTTGTTCTTGTGACTTGTCTTCTGATTTCTTTACTACTGTTTACCATGGGTGTTGATAGTGTATATAAGTAAAACAGTCATTTTCAATCCATTTCAGTCTTTTCTCTATCATGAATAGATGTTTATTGGTCCAGTGCTGAGGATTTTTTTTTTCATGTTAAGAGGTAGTCTAACACTGTAATCTTGTGCAGCAAGCAAGCACCTCAAGCCTTCTCAGCAAGGAAGGTTGTGTCATCTGCATAACAGATTGTTGATAATCCTCCAGTGTTAATGCTATGCTCTTCATATACTCCAGCTTCTTGAAAGATTTTCCCAGCATACAGATATAATGGGTATGGGGAAAGGTTACAACCCTTGCGCACACTTTTCCTAGTTTTAAAACAGACAAGTGTTAACTTGTTCTGTTCAAACAGCTGCTTCTTGGTCTATGCATAGGTTTTGTATGCTGATAATTTGGCGGTGGATCACAATTTTATCACAATCAAATTTATGTCTAAATCTGAGGAGACTGGGAATCCCAAAACACTTAATTGTGTTCATGCAAAACGTATACTTAAACCAGGAAGCAGTAGTTGAAAAAATAGGGAAGCACTGCATGGTTCAGGATCAGGAAGGCTGTGCCTCAGGGATGCATGCCTTTTCAGTGTATATGGGGAACAGATTATTTGAGAGGCTGAACTTTATGAGGAGGAATGTGGCATCAGGATTGGAGGAAGGCTCATCAACAACCTGCGTTATGCAGATGACAAAACCTTTGCTTGCTGAAACTGAGGAGGACATGAGATACTTGCTGCAGAAAGTCAAGGACTGTAGTGTTCGGTATGGCTTGAAGCTCAACATCAAGAAAACAAAGATGATCATCACTGGCCCAATTGGCAGCTTCATGATAGATGGTTTAGCTTGCTTGGTTTCACAATCAACACTCTTGGCATCAGCAGTCAGGAAATCAGATGAATTGCACTGGGAAAGTCTGCTGTCAAGGACCTCTCTAACATATTGAAGGGCAATGATGTCAGTCTGGAGATTAAAGTGCCCCTGATCCAGGCCATGGTCTCCGCAATTACTTGCTTTGTGTAAGAGAGCTAAACAGTGACTAAGGATGATGGGGGGGAAAATTGATGCCTTTGTGTTGTACTGGAGAGAATGCCAGGAGAACAAAACAGTTCAGAACCTGCTTGTAAGTGACCCTCCGGCAGATTTTCACAGGAGGAGATTATTCCTTTCTCCAGAGCAGTTGGTGGATTAGAATAACCTGTTTTTTTGGATTGGTAGCATGCATCTCCTTACCCACTTGGCTGCCAGAGTTCCCCTTTTGTAATATATACATTGTAACTCAGTCAGTTTATGTATTAAGAGAGTCTCAAAATGTAAAGAGGTTTTTGAAAAGGGAATGTTTTTGTTTTTCTTAGTGTGAATCTGGCCTTAAACAATAGAACATATTTTGTCTTTTTGAGGGTGGTTCATGTGTTGACTTTTTAACCAGTTATATATGTTTTGGGACTTGGTGGTTTGGGTTGGGGGGGGCGGTTTATTATTACTTGTTGGCCTGGTTCCAGCAATGTACCCAATGGATTGAAAAGCTTGAAGCATTAAACAAGTATTTATTTACAAAACAGAAAGGAACACTGTTGAAATCCTAAACTAGCTTATTGGAGGGGCAAAGGGCATGACAGATTTAGATAACTACATCCATTGTTGGTGGTTTTGGTTTGGTTTTTTTAGTGTTTCTGTTTTGGGATTTTTTGTTTGGGGGGGTTTTTTGGTTTTGGTTGTTGGGTTTTTTTGTTTTTTGTGTGTGTGGTTTTTGTTTTTTTTTTTTTTTTCAGTTACTGGATTAAAGTACAGTGGGTCAGGTATTGGCACCCACTTTGATTTTATTGATTTTATTTTTTAAGGGCCAGTTTCTTTCCGTCTGCTCCTTACATTGTGCCTGAGTCCATATTACTGCTAGATTTTAAAGAAACGTAAGTTATCTTGTGACATTTTATTCTATCTTAGCTGGAGGAAATTTATCATAGACCCAGACCTCTGCATAGTTGTTTTCTTTAAAAGCTGTGGAATAGACTTCATATGATCTGGTAGATCTCACTTTTGGAGAATTAATGTTAAGTCAAACAAAACTTGGAAACTATATTTGTATCCATCCTTTCTTTTCATTCCATTATTACACCAAGTTCATCTGGATTGCATGTTAACATGTTACTTCTGATTATTTTGTCCAGAAAAATAGGTATATATTTCATTCTTGACAAATATATCATCTTTGTTACCTGAAAGTTGAATTTTAAGAGAAAGACAGATACCTTCCTATTCTTTTGCATAAAGAGCAATCTTCAGCTAATCAGTTGATGCATCAAATTACCATAGCCCTCTTAGATTGAAAATTAGTTGAGAATCAGGCTAGAAGCGGAATCATCATGATACTAAAACCATGATACTGATTTTTATTTTAAGGAAATTGCTTCGTTTTCTATTGAAATAATTCAGTGGCTTGTGTCAGGGGCCAGTTATAGAACTTAAGTTAGTTACTAATGCCCTTTTAGATTAGCAACTGATTGGTTTCAAATGTACTTCCTCAAAGTTTACCTTGCTTAGGATAAGCCTGCCATAGAGCTGATAACAAACAAGGTAGACCCCTGAACTGTGATGCAGAAAGCTTGGTTTTAATTCTAGCTTTGCCATTTGATATGTTTGTAACTTTAGGATAGTCATTTGATCTCGCTGAGACTTTGTTTCCTTCTGTAAGTTGATAGTGGTGATTCTTATTTCACATGCTTATTTTACAAGTAGCCTATCAAGCAGTCCTTAAAAAGTGTTATTTATATTATCCCTTTTTTTTTTTTTTTAAATTATCTATGTCCCAGGAATAACAAATGTAACTAAACTGGTCTTAAACAAAAAGTCATTTAAACATATGGGTGAATATGGTAGGAAATAAAGATTGCCCTCTCCCCACTTTACTCACCAGAGAAGACTGGGCATCCTTCTAGACATTTTTTCCATTTATAAACAGTGTATGTTTAAACAAAGGGAGCTTGCACAGTATATATCCTGAAGGCTATTTTTCATTTATTGTTGCGTTCTTTGCCATTACATTATATTTTTTCATTTTTCTGTATGTAAGTATGCAATGATCTGATCACTTACCAGCTTATCTTTTTCTCCTTAACAGTATTACATTGTATGATTCTATAAATATCTGAATATTAGTGAATATCTTTTCTTGTCTTTTTAAAACAGCAAAAAAGAAGAATAAGAAGGGGAAGACTATCTCCCTAACAGACTTCCTGGCCGAAGATGGGGGAACTGGTGGAGGAAGCACCTATGTCTCCAAACCTGTCAGCTGGGCTGATGAAACAGATGACCTAGAAGGAGATGGTAAGTTTTGTTTTCTTTTCCATTGTGCTTGGGATTTTCCTTATTTTCTAGAGAGCATCTACTCATAATAATTGTTAAAATACTTCTCTTTTACTATCCTTTAAAGTCATAAATTATTTATAATTTTTCAGTCAATAAGTTTATTATCAAATTCATATTTGTTATTAAATAAGACTTTAGGCAACCCTTGTTTTTCCAAGTCTTCAAAAGTTTTACTAAATTAAAAAGGAATTTACTCATTTTGTAGACTCTAGAATTTGTACACAGTTTATATTACATGTTTTCTAGAATCTTTTTTTTAAAAAAAAAATTATTTATTTATTTATTTGCTTTTACATTACTAGGCTCTGATAGGGCCTGAAGTGATTCAAGAGAGCTTAGTACTAACTTTTCTCAAGTCATTAGCCTTTTAGCTCTTATTTGTCTAGCTTATCTTTTTAAAAATTTCTTCTCAGTTTAAAAGTCTTCTATGGCCTCCTATAAAATGAGATTGCATTGTAACCTTTACGTGGCATGTTCTCAGAGTCACGGAATAATCAGGACTGTTTATGTGAATTCAAAGTATCACCGAAAATAACAAAACCTCATTGCTATCAAGTTGAAACCAACTCAGAGCTGACCTGTAGTGGGCTTTCAGAGACTGAAAATCACACAGGAGGAAATTTCCTATCTTTCTCCCAAGGAATGGCTGGTGGATTCAAAACTCAGGTGCCACCAGAGCCCCAGTAAAGACAGTTTGAAGAAATTGATAAATAAGTGATCGAATATAGAAGGGTCATAGAGGTGTCATCTGAATGGGCTGTGTGTCTTCAGAGAAAAGACAAACAACTGGAAATATTCTTAACTACTGTGCAGTGTAACACAAACATTACTAGTCATTTTTGTACTAAAAGCTTTTATTGCATACTGGAACAAATAGTTAGGTGTTTTTAAATTTTTTTTTTCTTTTTTTTTTCATTGTTGCACATTTTCTTCTTCCCTTCCTTGGCCCAAGTGCACCCCTTGTTCCAGATTGTTACAGTGCACATAATGCCTAAATCTGTATTCCTTTCATACAATTCTTCCCCTCATCTGAACTAATGAAATGTTCATTATTTGTTCACTCTTCTCATTCTCTACCCAACCCCCCATGTCTGTCCTAGTTTATAACAGCAGAGTTATGCAGTTATTTGTCCTTTTGTAACAGATATTTTACAAGTTCATGGTTTTTCAATTCTGCCTAATATTCATTGTGAATATACCATAGTTTTTCTGTCCATTCATTTATTGATGGACATTTGGGTTGTTTCCATCTCTTGCTCTTGTGAAGCAGCAGTAAACATGTTGTGCATAAGAACAGTTTTTCCTTTGTGGTCTATTTTTATAATTAAATGATTTCCTGTAACCTGGTTTCTTTACTGTAGAGTGGGCAGCAATCTCACAAGATGATAACTTGGCTGCTAACATGAGTTTTCTTGTTCTGTGGTACTAGTACAGGAAGCCTCTCATGTCTTTGGTCTACTGTTTTTAAATCATAGTTTCAACCACCTGGCACAGTAATGATGACGATGTGTATCGGGCACCTCCAATTGACCGTTCTATCCTGCCCACTGCTCCACGGGCTGCTCGGGAACCCAATATTGACCGGAGCCGTCTTCCCAAATCACCACCCTACACCGCTTTTCTAGGAAATCTACCCTATGATGTGACAGAAGATTCCATTAAAGAATTCTTTAGAGGATTAAATGTAAGTATAAAAGTGTTGTAACGTGTTTGTAGTGACTGCCTTTGAATTGCTATGTTTAAAAAAGATTCTGGAGTCATGACTAAATTTGGAAGGCATGTTCCAGTTGATTAATAATTTGCATTTAGAGCCTTTAAGAATGTTCTTACACCAGTTGGATAGAAGAAGACTCGGTGGATTGAGAAAGTGACTGCAGCAGTGTGTCAAGCCCATTGATATTGTCAGATTGGTACAGGATAGGAGAGAGTTTAGATCTGTTGTTCATAGGGTCATTATGAGTTGTACAGCTCTACAACAGCTAGCTAACAGCATCACCTATATGTCTTGGGGTGCAGGGATGATCTTTGGAATTATTCCCCTTCTCATTAAAACAAATGGTGAGAATATTGACATCACTAGGACCGACAGGTGTTTGTGTGGCTTCCTTAAACTAAAGTTATTTTCTTGAAAGAAAAAAAATGGTGAGAATAACTTGGTTAAATGTAAAAGATGGGAAAGGGACTTTTCTCTAAATTAGCAGTTTTATTACTAACATTCAAGCTACTTGAGTTACTTGATTCTTTATAGGAATGTATTTCACAAACTACAAATATGTAGTTTGTATTAACAGAAGGGTTTAATCAAGGCTTTTGTGTTCTGTGACCTTAGTTGCACATAGTAATTGTAAGCTTACTTTCAGAAAGCTTAAGACTGTCTCTTTGTAAACTATGACCTATAAGATTCTAGAAAGATATTAAAGAAGTGAGTGCTCAGAAGTTCTTTGGCCTAACTTTTCCTAAAAAGTACTGAGGAGATCAGAAAAGAGAAGAGTGAGTAACAGACTGTAGGGACTTTAAACGTACCTTTTACAGTATGCTTCCTCTTTACTGTTACTGTGCATTTTGATTTTCTTCTTCTTTTTATTTTATTTTATTTTATTATTTTTGTGTGCGTGTACCGTCAAATCAGATCTGACTGGTACAGGAGGAGATTACCCCTCCTTCCCCGGCAGAGTATCTGGTGGATTCGAACCGTGTGCCTCTGGGATTGTAGTTGCAGCTTCTTGCCACTAGGCCACCAGAGCTCCCTCATTTTGATTTTCTATAGACTATTCTCTGTGGGCGTTCTAAATCAGGCTTTGCTTCAACACAGCTGTTGTTGTTTGTTGTTGCTGTTGGCATACTGTTGAGTCAGAATTCATAGCCGACCATCCAGCAGGTTTTCAGAGGCAGTTAATCACACAGGAGATTGTCCATTCTTTATCCTTTACATCAGCTGATGGATTTGAACCACATGCCTTTGGGATGGATTACAGGACAGCTTCTTAAACACTAGGCCATCAAAGATCCTTATTGACAATATATAAGTATTAAGCACTTGCTACAAGTGAAAGATTAGTGACTTAAACCCACTCGGAATGTGTCACTACAAAACAGGTTGTTTGTTCCCATTAAAATTACAGCCTAGACTAAAGCTGAACTAACCTATAGGTTAGTTCCACATCACGTGGAGTCAAAGTAGAAAACCAGTAGTAATATTGTTAGTATATAAATTCTCTCAAAAATAAACTATTCAAAGAATATTTGGCAGAAAGGACTTTTGTGTGATGAGAATTTAAAAATGCATATTAAAAGTATAAATGCATTAAGTAAGTACAAAACCAATGGAATATGCAGTTACTCTTGATTGCAAGTAGTGGTTGTTATGTGCCATTGAGTCGCCAGCAACTCATAGTGACCCTATGTACAACAGCTCTGAAGCCCACCCTATCGTGAGCCAGTCTCACTGACTCAGACACACCTACCCCAGTTGCCACAGTTAATGTTCCAGTCCATTTCATCTAGGGTCTTCCTCTCCTGCACTGTCCCTCCACCCTTCCAAGCATGATATCCTTCTCCAAGGTTGGGCCCTTCCTGGCCATGTGCTCAAAATACGTGAGATGGAGCTTCAAAATCCTCCAAGGAGAAGTTTGTTTTCACCCTCTCCAAGACAGACTTAACATTTTCTTGGCGGTTCATGATACGTTCTAGACTCTTCTCCCGCTCCTCAACTCAACGGCATCGATTCTTCTGTCATCCTTAATCATTGTCCAGCTTTCTAATGCATAACAACTAATTGTGAAGACTATGCTCTGGATCAGCTGCACTTACATTTTCCCAGTGGAGTTTGTCTTGATTTCCTGACTGCCAGTGCCAAGGGTGTTCATTGTGGCCCTGCACAAGATCTAACTGTTAGCAGTCTTAATCTCTCCTCCATCTGTCCTGTTGCTGCCAGTTGGCCCAGTAGTGAAAATCTTTGTTTTCTTGATGTTGAACTTCAATCCATATTGTTGTTGTTGTTATGTGCTGTCGAGTCGTTTGCGACTCATAGCGACCCTATGCACAACAGCCATAAACCCTGCTCTGTCCTGCGCCAACTGCACTGCCTGTGACACACCCATCCTGATTACCCCAGTCACTGAATCAATCCATCTCATAG